GTCAAAAGATCACAAATCGTATCTAGTTGAAGACATTACCCTTAAAAATTGAAAAAAATTCCCTCGTTCCCCGCAAATGGGGGAAATATCCAAAAAAATTACAAATTTAAAAATCGCTAATTTTCGAAATTTTTTCCCTTTTTTTTCTTAAAACTTCCATAACTTTTTGAAAAATCAACAAATCAACATAATTTTTTTTTATACTAAAACCTTAGATATTTACCTTTCATTTGATATCATTTTTTTGAAAATCTATCACTTAACCTGCTCATTGGGGGGGATTTAAAATGGCAACTTTTTTACAAAAATTAATTTTTTCAACTTAATTTTTGAAAATGTTCCGGAAAGACTGCGTCCTTTAAACATATATCAAATTAAAGCTTATTTTATGTACTACAAAATGAAAAAAAAAAATTTGTCCCGACACTTTTTTTTCTACATTTAAACGGCTGCCGTAGTTAAAAAAACGCTATTTTTGGTTTAAAATTTTCGATTTTCGATTTTAAATTTTCAACTTAAAAATGCTATAACTTTTTGAAAAATGTATATATCAGCACAAATTTTTTTTTTCTAAATACATTATAAGTACATCTTTCATTTGACATACTTTTTATTAAAATTGGACAATTTCTCCTTATATAGGGGGCGTTCAAAACTTAAAATATTGTAAAAAACATAGATCTTTTTCAACTTAACTTTTGAAAATGTTCCGGAAATACTGCGTCCTTTAAACATATATCAAATCAAAGGTTATGTTATATACTATCAAATGAAAAAAAAAAATTTGTCCCGACATCTTATCTTCTATGTGCAAATGGCTGTCGAAAATTTAAAAAAAAATGTAATGTTTGCGATAAAAATTACCTTTTATCGGGATGTTTTTTGTACTTAAAACTGCCATAACTTTTTCAAAAATGAACAAATAAAAATAATATTTTTTTGTATTGAAACCTTAGATATTTCCCTTTCATTTGATATCATTTTTTTTGAAAATCTAACACTTCTTCTGTTCACAGGGGGGATTTAAAATAGTAACTTTTTTACAAAAAATAACTTTTTCAACTTAATTTTTGAAAATGTCACGGAAATACTGCGTCCTTTAAACATATATCAAATTAAAGCTTATTTTATGTACTATAAAATGAAAAAAAAAAATTTGTCCCAACAACCTATCTTCTATGCGCAAATGGCTGCCGTATTCAAAAATATGCTATTTTTGTATTAAAATTATGGGTTTTGTATTTTATTTTAATAGAAGTTGATGTTGATTTTGCAATTATCCATCAATTTTTTAAAATAAACACTATCTACAGATTTGCATCGAAGCGTTTCTTATGATAGTGATTTTAATCACTTTCAGATTAAATCTATACTGGACCTAACTATGTAATGTCTCCAATATGCCGCGACCCCACTGTGCTACCGTTTATTTTATTTAATAATTAGACCCAAACCCGTGAAATTTAAAATTTTCCGTTATTTATAACACACTTTGTATATCTAAATTTATTTAAAAAAAATTTTAATGTATAGATTTGATTTTAAAACTTAAATTAAAATTTATGAAATAACAAAATAATAATCACCCAATTTAATTTTTTCATTTTTAGTTTAAGCTTAAACTATTTTTTTAATATTTTGTCACTAAAAATAATAAAAAGAAATTATAATTTATTTTATCAAAATTTCTGAACAACTATTTTTAAAAAAATCGTATAAATCATTTTTCTGTGTCGTTAACAATTATAGGATTAATATTCATTGATTTGCAAGGATTTTAAAACATAGAGTGAGTTAATACTGTGGGAATAGTATAGACTCTACCTAATTGAAATACATACCTTATGTATATATTAAAATTAATAATCGCACGTGAGCATTATCTCCTATGCATACATCTTACAGATAGTAGTGAAATTGAAACAAGCCCCTCCTCGTTCTAAATGCTGTAAACTTACAGGCGTTTTGATTTAAAAAGCATTGCCAATAACCCGATCTTAAGTCAAGAGTAGTGTACATTTTTGTCCCCTCATGCTTATAACCATGCAGTTTAGATTAGGCATAGGGTACGCATCCGAAACTGTTACTTCGTTTAATCGTCGGTAATCTATACATAAACAAAAAATCCCGTCCTTCTTCTTGGCCAGCACGATCGGTGCTGACCACAGCGATACATTCGGTTCTATTAGCCCTTGTGCCTCCATGTCGTTTACCATATCGACAATAATCTCCTGCTAGGAGTAGGGGTACGGTTTTAACGCGATAGGAGTCGGGTCTTTCAATAGAATATCGTGCTCAATTAATTTTGTGCGACTCACCGTGTCGTTAAAAACTGCTGCATAAATCATATCGTCTTTGTTAATATGCGTGCGTCCGTAGGTCGCCGATTGTATCTAACTGCGTCAGATCTGGTTTGCGGATCGTATGTCATGCGTCTGATTTCTAACAAGTGGTTTTACGTTTTTTAGTGCCTAAGTGTATTGTTCCTGCTGAGTTGTCCCAAGCGATTTTTTGATCAATCAGAAAATCATGACCAAGTAATACATTACAATACAGGTCGTCTAAAATAACCGCTGAAAAACGCACTTCTAAATCCGCGATTTTGGCAGTAAACGTGGCGGTACCGTTTGTCATAGCGGTGTCTGTCCGTTAGTCTAACCACGTCGGTGTGTCTTTTATAAACAATTCCGTATTTATAAGCAATTACCGGTTTTACATACGATTTATGCGCCTGTGAGTTGAGTAAAGCTGTGACGAAGCCAGTTTCGACTACTGGAGAAATAATTCTACGTGGGCATTTTCGTTGGCCATTACTCGGGTGATTTACGGTTCGAACGGAGGGCAGCTGGTTCTTAACCGCGATGACGGATTGTCCACTGACAGCGTTAACTGCCATTAATGGACTTGCCTGGTCGACTGATACCCCCTCCCCACTGTGTCTGAAAAAATTTCGAACACCTGACTCGGTTGACCTTGATAGTCGTGTCGGCAGTGTGCTCGAACTCCAATGCCCTGATTATATCCGAATATACCGCGGCGTACCCTCCATTCCGATAAAAGGGGTGCGGTGCCGAATGATTGTCAAGATCGTTGGCAGTATGTCAATCGCTAGGACTATTAGATTCGGTATTGTGCACGACGGTCGTATTGTGTGATATGTTTTTACCGGGTAAAAATTGCGTAGCGGAATAGATAAACAAATAATGATAATAAGCTAAATATTTTTAATTTGGCATGGAATTTTATGAACTCGTTTATTGCTTGTTCGACAAGGATAATGTAAAAAATAATAATTAAATTATTACGTGTCTCATCTACGGCAGTATAACTTTGCTTGCCTAAGTTAAAATGTCTTTTTACAGGAGAACAAGAAACACCTATAGAAGATTGTACAGGTTGTTTACGAAATAATGGGTGCAAAAGAATATCCGAAAATTGCAGTCACTTCTATTGTAAAGACTGTTTTCAAGCAATTTCAATAGGGATAAATTCTTGTCCATTCTGCTTTAAAGAATCAAATGGAGAAAGATGAAGGTCGAAATAAATAAGTTGTTTATACGAGAATATATGATGGTCTATTTAATAGTAAAAAAAGAAATTATATAATTTACTGTTAATCTTAAAAGTTTATTGTATAACGTAAAATTATTAAAATTACATTTATACACAAAAACAAATAATTGAGTGATATATTTTATTACACATGCGTTTTATATAAATTTATAATGTAAAATGTCTAAATTTTTAAAATAATTTATAAAATGACAACTAATTATGTATAACTATCATGCCAATAAATGTAAAAGTAGAAAAATAATTTTTATTTTTTGAAAATGTTTTTTGCTTATGCGTTAGTGGTGAGTGTGTCGCACGCGATCTTAATGAATGAGTCTATTCTAATCGGTATATGGTCAGTTCTTTGAAGTGACACATACTATTACATATACTCAATAAAAATATATTACCAAAACACTGATGCCTTGTTGGTAAGATAAATCAAATAATAATACAAATAATTCAATCGCCTTCTTACGCATTCCTCAAAATTCTCACAACAAATATTCTATGACATTGACCAATCAAATTCAACAAAACATATCTTAAGAATATCACCAAAGATCGCTAAACCGCTTTTTCAGACTATAAAAAGGCCATTTTTTCTATAAACATTAGATCTTAGTTAATATTCTCATGGACTCTGCGTCAGTAATGTAATCATTTTGTTCCTAGAACTTAGTTTTTTTTTTTGTATTACCTTAAATAGCGAATATTATTTCATTATATCTCATAATTTTATTATTAGAGTTCGAGCTTGCTTACAACTTTATATCGAATCTTCGTTGTTACACATTTCATTTTTAATCGCCGGAAAGAATTCTAACACATCTTAATCAAAGGTTTAATGAATCATTAGCGTTCTCTAAAGTATCTCTCTACTTGTTTATAATCCAGTATGATCTCTACCGTTTTCCAAAATAGCGCAGGTTATAGGACACTAGTATAATCTATTGTGCAAAAAATTAAATTGAACTCATACCTACTCTAAATCACTCTATGGATAACTGAAGAGATGTAGGCCACTTGAAAATAGTATATTTCATAGATTATTTATGTTATGTAGAATCTCATTCTTAGTTTTAAAAATTATTAAATTAAAAATGTGTTAGTATAAAATAATACACACAAGGTCGAAAAGTATACCATATAAATATACAAAAAGGGTTTTGTGATAATTGTGTAGTGATAAATACATTACCTAAAAATTGTAAAATAAAGTCTATTGCATGATAGAGTTGTACATGTAAAAACTGTTCAGTGTTATAATTATTTAATACCTTAAATACATAATAATGTAAAAAGGAACATTATTGTAGGTTAGATAAATCTCAAAAGAGTATTATATTCGATTTAAAAGTTGGTTATTTTGAATATAGTGTTACACTGGAAAAATAGTTACTCGCGAGTTAATATAGTAATAAAAATCGCGTAGTTTTAAGTGCGTATATATCTTTAATAGTGACATCAACTACAAGAATCAATGCAACACAGTATTTGTCTTATCAGGATAATTAGAGGTCAGTGAAAATATTTGTTTATATAAAAATCAATAATAATACCTCCATCAAAGAATTTTGAGTAATAACAATTAGAATAAGGTAGGTCAGTAATGAACTGACTAAAATAATTGTATAAGAAAACACGATATTCACAATTCATATAAATTTGTGTGTGTATTTCTGAGCAAGAACTAATTAGGAACTTTTCGTTACCTTTTATACTGTATTCAATTATCAGACGTACTTCTGTAGGCTTACATTTCCCGAGATCCGTTCACTTTAATAGTATTATTGTCGATGACCGTTTACCGACTATCCCGAGACGACACCACTACTAACATCAATTTTACTTTTTGTTTATTACGTTATGAAATAAAATCTACTTGTTGTACATATTTTTAAATAATTTCTATATGCAGGGCCCCCATTGTAATTAATCAATTACAATAAAAAGCCTCAACTTCCAAGATCACGTAGGGATCGCTGGATTATTATCCTCCAACTATAGAAACCTTTTTCTCCCTATCAAAATCAGTTCTTTTGGTAATTTCAATATACACAAAAATCTGCGATACTACTCAAGATTCTGACTCTGGCACTTTCTTTATACAAAACTTATATAACATTAAATTTTAAACAACTTTTTCATGAAATTTTTTTAGTTTCGATACTACTGTGAATGCTCAATCTCAGCTCTCGTTGGACCGATTTTGATGAACAATACGTCAAAAGATCACAAATCGTAACTAGTTGAAGAAATTAACCTCAAAATTGAAAATTTTTCTCTCGTACCCCGTAAATGGGGGAAATCTCCAAAATATAATTTTTATGAAACTTACACTTTTAAGGAGTAAATGTTGATTTTATGACTTTTTTGCTAATAATTTTTTTTATGTACAAGAGTAACACGTATAATTACTTTCCTTTTAACTTTTCGTAAAAATCATACATTTTGAAATAAAGCACAATAAATGAAAAACTACCCTTATGATCCAACTTTCAACCCTCTTGTGGTATGTGTTAAAGTCAACTTATCGTGACCAAATTTTGCACAGCTTTTTTTTACATGTCGTAGAACAATGTATTGATTCGTGTAAATCGAAATTTGAAAATTTACGCTTCATCAATACGTGCTTTTATTACCTTGAAAATATACGTCGTTCATTAATTAAGAATTTAAAAAGGAATTCTCGGGATGGGACCTACGTCCATTATGATTTTTTTTTGTTACGTTTCAAACTTTTCACAATATACTAGGTTTTTACTAATAATATTTTCTAAAAGACACGGCCGTAGAGTATTACTGCTATATTTATTACTATAATAAGCTTTTTCACTTTGTTCGCCATATTTAAGGCTGTCCAGCCTATTTAAGTGCCTATGAACCACAAGTGGGATGTGATTAAATAGACAAAGATGTATTTTGGAGAGAGATGGATGAAGTGATGCAAGTGGCAATGAAGTTGTGGTAATAGGTAGAGATATGAATGGATATGTAGCTAATGAGAGGAGAGAATATGAAACAGTACATGTAGGGTATGGTTTTAATGGGAAGAATGAGGCTGTAAAAAGAATTCTAGATTTTGCAGTATCGTATGAACTTGCTATAGTTAATACTTATTCCAGAAAGAGGGAAGAACATTATATAACTTATAAGAGTGGGAGAAATAGATCACAGATTGATTATTTTATGTGAAAAAAAGCGAGTAAATGATTGTAAAGTTATACCAGGATAGAGTGTAACTACATAACATAGACTGAAGGTATTGGTGTTGTGGTATACCGGAAAATATACAAAAATAGAAGAAACACGGGATAAAAATCGAAGATCCGGTGGTAGAAATTGAAAGGGGAAAATGAAAAAGAGTTTGTAAAGACGGGACAATAATTTGGAATCCTTATCAGCTTAATCAAATTAACCGTCTGGATAATGTACAATCATATTTCTTGAGATATTTATCTTATAAGTTTTTAATGAATTGTTTCACAAAGGAACTTGCAATGAAGCTAGGTCTGTATTCACTTTCCTCCAGACGTAAATTTAATGATCCATCTTTTATTCACAAAATTTTAAATAATAACATTCATTGTCCCGAAATACTTGAAAAAATTAGTTTGTCAATTCCAATTTTCTATACCTGATCAAAAACTGTTTTTTATGAATCATTCCATAGTCAATCATATAGTTTGAAACGGCGCTATCACCTGTTTGACATCCCGCGGTCGTGTCCGCTCCTCCTCAGCCACTGCTCCACTATAAACCGGACCGTGACACACACGTGTTATCGCCCTGGTGTAAAGTTCAATAAATGCCTAGAGTCGAATACCCGCTGCAATAATACGTCCAGTAAGTAATTTCCGTGACTCCACCCGAGACACAGCCCGTACGTGTGCGACATCGTCGGTCTAGTTATTCGAGTTATAAATCTGTTTATTAATATTTAAGTATATTTGTCTGTAACATTGGATCCCATCCACTCATTTAGTGATTATTTTTGTGATAATCTTTTTCACCAATAAAAGGCTTAACGCCACATTCTTGTGCTCATATCCAACCGGTGTTGTTTCTTTTTTTTTTTTTGTATACTTACGACATTTAAGATTTAATGAACCTAAAAGTCGTATAATCCGGGTTTGCAACAGCCTCGATAGCTTCGACTATAACTATGATTCTGAATCTAAACTTCGTCATTTATGTTTGAATTTTAATTTATAATTACATTTTATATTATGATTAATTTTATTTTATAATGTATTACCTTTATATTTAGTAGCAAATGTAATAAACCAAAAATAAAAAGAAAGAAAAGAAATAAGAAGGTAGTATAAAAGTAAATAATTAAATAAAATATAAATTTATTAATTAATATATAATATTAATTATATGATTTACACATTTATTGTTTCTCTTATTAATTATTAATTTTTTAATTCATTAATAATTATCACAATAGTTATATACATTATAAAGATTAATATTATTATTTTTAGCTTCGATGCGAAGCTGAGAAGGTATTGGTTTTACTAAAATGTGTTTTTTTTTTTTTTGTGTCTGTTACCACTTTTTCTCAGCTCTCGCCGAACCGATTTCTTTTAATGATACGTCAATAGATCAAAAATTGTATCTAGTCGAAGACATTACCCTCAAAAATTGAAAAAATTTCCCTCGTTCCCCGTAAATGGGGGAAACCTCCAAAAAAATTACAAATTTAAAAATCGCTAATTTTCAAAATTTTTTCAATTTTTTTTACTTAAAATTGCTATACCTTTTTTAAAAATAACCAAATCAATATAGTTTTTTTTTTATATAGATGCATGATATCATTACCTTTCATTTGGTATATTTTTTTTTTATATGTGACCCTTTACTTGCCCACGGGGGGGATTTAAAAAGACAACTTTTACACAAAAAATTAATTTTTTTAACTTGATTTTTGAAAATGTTCCAGAAGGTCTGACACTTTTATATATATCTTAAATTAATGCTAATGTAATATACTTTATTATGGTAAAAAAATATTTCGGACTTTATTTTATCTTCATGGTGAAAACAGACATCAAAGTTTATAAAAAAAATACGATTTTTGTAAAAAAATTCTTTTTTATATTTTTAACTTTATAATGCTATAACTTTTTGAAAGATGTATGGATCAATATAATTTTTTTTTTATAGATGCATGATGTCTTTACCTATCATTTGGTATATATTTTTTTTATATCTGACCCTTTACCTGCCCACAGGGGGGGATTTAAAATGACA